AGTCAGACATACAGTACTATGTGCAGTTATCCCCTAATAAGTTCAGAGCACGTGACTGTTCTCTGTAAATATAATCATTCTTTGTCTTATCAAGCAGTTACAGCTAAAGGTAGAACAGAAAGTTTAGATAAATAAACCTAAACTTATTCACAGAACGATTTACTCCACTATTAGAACTAAAAATCACAATCAAGGTCTGAAAGTGTTGTCTTTCCTCTGAGCTCAAAAAACTTCAGCTAAGTCTTTTATTCTGGGATTTTAAGAATCCATTACAGTGACAAGCCACTCAATATAAAACTGGTTTATTAAAGATCAGAGGGTAAAACTAATTTCAGAAAGCCATTTTCCATAACAAGAACAAGACAGAGGAAGAGGGACCAAATTAAATTATAGGAATCCTATTACATTTATGCTTAATTTAATTGAGGTTCTGAACATGGAGGTTAGATCATTTAAAGCAGTTCTGTATTTTTAACATCTTCAAATCCTGCTATAGAGGAAAAGGAACAGTCACCCATTAGGATTGCATAGTCACTAATGTCTCACCATTTTTTGTCAGAATAGTCAATATTCATAATGCTGAGTGTCTTCCAGCAGCCATGTAAAGAACACTTGTGACTGCCACTGATATTTTCAAATATCAGAGGTGTAACAAGGTACTTCAGATACTGAAGAGACATTAAAACTGGCGTGATCTAAATATGCAGGCACAATATCACAGCGAAGCACTTCAGACTGTGGGTTGGGCCCTGTCTTTTTGCAGCCGAGGACAAGAACCGGACCTTTCCCATAATTCACAGATTCCACTTTCACTTTACCGCCTTTTCACCTTTAATTTACATTTTAAGATTGTTTTCGTTTTAGTGTACGCGCATTTGTTGACTGCGAATGAGGACATGAGTCAGAGTGGATGTTCAGCTTGTTGCTCAATTCTATCATTTTTGTTGAGATCTCTCATTTCTTTTAAAGGCATTAAATTACACATGCGCTATTTTCATGGTTATTTTGTTTGGGGGTGGGTAGTTTGAGTTGCTCAGTTTGCTGGTTGTTGCCAGCTGAGTGTGAGCTGTCATCTCAGCTGTGATGACATGTTTAATGTTATCTAATACAATACAATCGTACTTTATTCTCTAATTTCTCAGGAATTGGTTTTGCATCCAAGCATCTATGTTTTACACACAGAAAAACCTACAAACAGTATGAATAAACATTACATTTAAAATAAATATATACTGTATGAATATGTTTGTATGCTCCTGGGATATGAGACTTTACTTGCGAATGCAATGCAATCCAATCCAATCTGTGTTTTTAAATACATATTTTACAAGTAAAGAGTAAAAAGCAACACCTACTGTACAATTTGTTACATTAACACTGTAATAATTGGTTTCTATAATAGGTCTCTACAATTGGTTATGTTTTACTCAAATTTAAAACCAGATTATCAGAGGTCTGAAGCAAATTCACATTAAATAGTATAATCAAGGTGATGAGTATGTATAGCTATAAACCTGTCAGAGTTATTTTTTCTTCATCTATTCGATGATGCATACATCATTTTATATGTACTTGGATTTCAGTAGACAGCACAATTCCTCTACGGCCTTTGGTGAAGTCAGACCCCATTTCCTGTTTACATTTTTAAACTGTACATTTGTATATGGTATAAACTTCTAAACCAAATTCTACTAAAGTTAAAGTCCCTTTTTGAGGGATCATCTCACAATACCTTGAGATTAAGTTCCAGGGACCTTGAGATTAAGTTGCAGGCCAGCAGCCATATCACCCTGCAACTCACAACTGGCAGCCCCCTGAAGCTCAGCAGGTGTGAGCCTGGTCAGTACCTGGAGGAGAGACTCCTGGGAAAAACTAAGGTTGCTGCTGGAAGAGGTGTTAGTGGGGCCAGCAGGGGGCGCTCACCCTGCGGTCCATGTGGGTCCTAATGCCCCAGTATAGTGACGGGGACACTATACTGTAAACAGGCGCCGTCCTTCGGATGAGATGTAAAACCAAGGTCCTGACTCTCTGTGGTCATTAAAAATCCCAGGGCGCTTCTCGAAAAGAGTAGGGGTGTAACCTGGCCAAATTTCCAATTGGCCCTTACCAATGATGGCCTCCTAATAATCCCCCTCTATAAGTTGGCTACATTACTCTGCTCTCCTCCCCACTGATAGCTGATGTGTGGTGAGCGTTCTGGCGCACTATGGCTACCGTCGCATCATCCAGGTGGATGCTGCACATTGGTGGTGGTGGAGGGGAGTCCCCATTACCTGTAAAGCGCTTTGAGTGGAGTGTCCAGAAAAGCGCTATATAAGTGTAAGCAATTATTATTATTATTCAATTACATTTTCTTCATTTATCTCCTGTTTGATTGATAAGACAAGCAGACATGATGTAGTACAAATGGCTATATACATTTTGCTATCCAGTGGATTTAAGGATAGCTAGATAACTTTCTGTTATGTTATGCTACAATACCAAATGTGTAACGAACAGTTCTTTCCAGACCCTATGCGGACGACACAATCCAGGATGGATTGAGGAAACACCAGGAAAAAGTCATGCAGGAATCAGGAATGAATACGGGGGGGGCGTGTCCAAAGTGTGCAGGTGTCCAGGGGGGTGAGTCCGAGGCAAACAATCCATTGATGAGTCCAAAGGAGAAATCAAGTCCATGGCCAGGTGATCCATCCAACAAGGGATTAAAAACAGGAACCGGGTCGGAACCGGCGGAAGGTGAACAGGAACAGAGAATAAAACCTTAACAGGACCAGGTGCTTCCAGGTCCTGGACTTGCACGATACGGAGATCAGATGCAGAGCCCGGATTAACGTCAGCGCCTGGCTTTTAAGGAGGACTGGGAACAGGGGACAGGCATGGGGAATGAGGCAAACAAGAAAGAGCCGGAGCGCACTTAAGGAGGAGGGACTTCCTTAGTCTAGTCAGGTCATCGTGACAAATGACCTGACTAGAATTAAAATGTGTCGGTTTTCCTGTTTGACTCTTTTTAGTTTACTGGACCTATTTTTGTGTTCTTTTGCATTTTTACAATGGGCACTGCAGTGTTTGCTTTGCTTCTTTAACACTCTTCAAACAGAATATCTTTACAACAGTCCTGCATTTAAGCTAACTGCACTTCTTATTACATTGCACTCTGTGGCTATATGCTAGTATAGAGTACCATTTCTTACAGTTTGAAACTTCTGTCTGATTTTTGGTTATCAAAACTGTGTGAACTCCTCATCCAACAATTGCTCTTTGCAGAGCAATTCCAGTATGTCTGATACTGTACTTTTACAAGTGTACTGTCTAAATTTTGGTCAGTTGGTCCTTATCATCTATCACAGCAAACTTGTACTACTTTACCATCTAATTTCAATGTGGTTTAGATCTGCACATACATTTTAACATGTTAAAAAGTGTTAGACTGTATTTGGGATCATCGCCGTGTTGAAAAACAAACTCTTCACAGATGAGCGGCTTTCTCAATGATACTGCAAGTCGTTGAAGAACAGAATGACATTATTCCATATGCACTGAATCATCATATGTTTTGTCATATGTCCTGTTTGTGCACTGTAAAAAAAAATCCCCAAACTGAAAACTTCATTGTTTTGCTGTGGGCATCTCGCAACATTCTTACAATCATCTGCTTTTCTGCTCCCATGCCTTCTGAACTGCTTTATCTCGGAACTCAGGAGTTCAAATAATGTCATCTCCATTCGTTATGATTTAATGACCTAGTATCTTTGGCAATGTACTAATTTAAGCAACATTTTTGAACTGCAACATACTGTTCCACATACACACTAAAATGTTAAGACATACTGTAAATGCTGTACTGCATACTGTATAACCTTTTTTTTTGTTTTAGTTGTTTTCCTCTCTCTGTCTTGGAAAATGTCTCCCATATTTTCATTTGTATTGATATTGTTCTGTATCAGTTGCTTGTAGTTTTCACTTTATGTTGAAAAACATTAATTTACTTTACGTTTTCCTCCAAGGAGGCTTTGCCTTGTGAAAGTCAATTATGGATCTGATTATCATATTTTATTGCATTCTTTCCAGCCATGGGTAACTCATTTACCAAACAGTTTGTCTCTAATGTCTTTCAGTCTCTCCCTTTATAAGAACCAAAAGCTGATTACTGAGCTTTCAGCTGCTGGCCTTGCCAGATTGTCAGAGCAGATAGACATGAATCTCCTGTCTGAGCCCTGGTAGGTACTTATAGCCTTCTATTTGAGCCAGTAGAGATATAAAACATAATAGTGACATGCCACAATAAGCTTTTACATAAGTAAATTTATGTTCAATTCATCTAAATTAGCAGGATTTCAATCAAATTTATTTGTGTAGCCATAATTTTGAAAGCCAGTCCATGAAAATAAATCAGCTCTTATTTTGCAGTTTGAATGATGTTAACCCAATTCTATCCTTTATAAATAATCAGATCTGCCTCACAAAATGATATAGGGTGCAAACATTCGGAAAGCCATTAGCAGCAAAATTAATTAAAAAAATATATTAACCACCCTGAAGGACATAGGCGATGTACAGATCATCCTACTTGCTTATAGCAACTCTAATGACTAACACAGAATGACTAATGCATGCACTTTCATTGCTGTGTTCAATGTATTATTGCAGTTTATGAGATTAAATTTGATGAATGACAAAAGAAAGTATCCCAGGATATATTCGGTCATTCTAGTATATATCTAAAGACATTAGGTGACCTCTTTCATAACAACAGCACAACACTGAAATGCTGACCACCAACATAAAGTAATGTGGTACTCATGTACGTACATTCACCAAAACATTTCCTCTATTGGTAATATATTGTATATTGCTTAAGCTGTGTAATTACCAACAATTACCAATTAAATCCATTTGACAAAGTGACAACAGGAGTGCCTGATACGAAGTCTATTTTGAAGGCTAGAAATACAATTGCAGATTTATACACAGAAGACTTAATAATTTACATCACTTACCGCAAACTCATGTTTCCACCCATGTTCCATTTGGAAATTTTCTGCTGATGTTGCTAGGGTCTGAAAAAGAAAAATATAATGTATCAATTATTTTGTATTTTATAATCAGAGTTTAGATATCAGCCTTTCAACTCAAGAAAATATTTGGCCAGTGCCTCAGATAATTAAAATTCTATACTTTCAAGTTGAGGATAACAAAACTATCTAACAATACAGAAGGTAAAATCACAGCACAGCTAAAAAAATCTAGCTTCTCTAAATACAAATACTCCGCTGCACACACCTATTACAGATACTGTCAATGAAGTAAAGACAAATCACCAATTACGTGTAAAATAAATCAATCTGTTCATATTATTTTTTAAGAAAACTTAGTGTTGACTGGAATCAGGTGAATCACCAGAATGTATTTGCCAACAATACACCTAATCTTTATAGTAACAATTATAGAAAATTAAAATCTGTTTCATCTGCCAATACAGTATATCTATCACTATACTGCCTTCAGCAAAATAAGTTCTGTTTTACTTTATATTCTTTCTGGATCCCCAAATGTTGAGCATTGTGATTTGGGATATAAACTGAATTACAATCCAGAACCCAAACCCATCCACTGTTAAAATTAATTTCTGTTTTAACAGAACAAGAAAAAAACATTCTTTCTAACATAAAAAACTATAAGCTTTTTATAGTTTTGTAAATTACGTCTACTGTACATCTTATTACCTTGATTAAGTAGATCTATTTGTCTTTAATTTGCAATATGGCTATGTAAGAGGTACTACACTTTTAGAATGTGTCGTCTCAAACTAATCCTACTGAGAGTAAAATTAGGGCAGAGCAGTGCGATGTGGCATTGAAAATGTATTCAACTCAGATATTAATTTTTGTAGGTTTCCCAAAAGATTTGCATAAATGACTTTGATAATAGGCATGTAATCGAAAATATCTTTCTTTTAATCTCTCCTGATTAAGAAAATGTCTATTATATAAATTTCCCTTAGGAAATACAAGGTCTGATTTTTCAAGTCCTCCCTGGAAATGAGCTACTTACAACACATGAGCAAAATAAAACCGTCTGTTGATCTGAAGCACTCAGCAAGACACTTCTGAAATAATTATTTCAAAGGCTCAAATAATAGAAATGCTGAGAATGTATTGGTTAAAAACTTCAGAAAACACCCATCCAATTTCTAACCACTTTCTGCAATACAGGATCTTGGGAGCCAGAACCTATCCCAGCAAGCAATACGCGCAAGGCAAGGTATAACCTCAACAGGACACCAGTCCATCACAAGGCTCACGCTGACACGGACACACACACTCTCAGACCGGGGGCAATTTTCCTAGAAGTAAATCAATCCCCAGTATGTCTTTGGACTGTGGCAGGAAACCAGAGCACCTGGAGAAAACTCATGTCAACACTGGGAGTACATACAGACTCCACACAGACAACAGGGATAGATAAGATAAGATCACTATTAGCCATACACAATTTCTCGCATTAGGAATTTGTCTTTCCACATACCCCAGCTTGCTCTCCATGAGACACACAGACACAGACAGGGAGAGAGAAGCTTGGGGTCAGAGCGCAGGGTCTGCCATTTATATGGCGCCCTTGGAGCAGCTGGGATTAAGGGCCTTCCTCTGCCGGCCACTGAGATTTGAACCGGCAACCTTCCAGCCACAGGCGCAGATCCTGAGCCACAGAGCCACCGCTCCGCCCCCTAAGGTCAAGTACATTGTTTTTTTTTTCCCTTCTTTTGTCGTTTTGGGGTTGAGAACGTGAGTAAGGAGTTTTAGGATGTTCTAATTTTTAATTCTTGCTCTTTTTGTTATGGGGGATGGGAGCTGAAGGATTATGAACCGGCAACCTTCCAGCCACAGGTGCAGATCCTTAGCCACAGTGCCACCTCTCCACCCCCATAGAATCCCAAGAACTGAACCCAGGGCCAAAGCCACTTAACCACTGCTCCACTGTGCCACCCTTTCATAAATCATGTATTCATTTATTTGAACAGAGTTCT